TGAGCCTTTGAAAATAAAATCTAATTATTTTTCTGTTTATTTAGACAGATTATGTTATAGCTTTCTGATCTCACTTTGCGATTAATAACATGTATATGTTTAGAGCTGAAAGGATGAAGGCAAATTCCAACCTGTTTTAGGAAGACACTTCAAGTTAGGCTGCATGTCAGGGAGAGGATGACAGTGGGTTCCACTTGCATCGTTTAATTAAAATGCAGTAGTCTAGATAACAGAAAATTGAGCAGGGAGGGAAGAAGAGGGAAATAAATCCTAGAAATAGAGTCGTACTATAGCACTTCAAAACCCCTACTTAAAGTGGAAAGAACCTAGAAGTAAGTTATTTCTCCTTGTTTTCTGCTATCTTAGGAAAAACCTGAACTAGTGTGTTCATTGTCTTTTTTAAGGTTATCTGAAATCAATTTGCAGTCTTGGATCCTGCTTTATCTTTGGTTCTTCAAACCAAGAAATGCAAAGTATAATAAGCCTAGCTTCCCTAACAGAGAAGCCTCCAGCACCTCTTTGCAGTGCAGTTTTGGCCCCAGCTGTGTACTTGGCTGTTTCTGAAAAAGAGCATTTGTGATCCTGATGCTGGCAGGGAGAGTGCAATGAAGAGCCTGGGGAGAATCACTTCCAGCAGGTGTGGACATCTCAGTGGAAACCACCACTCAACATCCCTCTGAGCAGGCAACATTGCCTCCTATGACTGAGCGCCTGTTAGAAAGCTCCAGCTTCTTCCTGACATGGGAGAACCATGTAGTGACCCTGCAGCTGTTTTTAATTTGGTGGAATATCAGGGACACTGTCAGCGTACAGCAAACACTTCTGCTCCAAAAGCTAACAGCTGTCCCTGGACAGGCAAAGCATCATCCCACCTCTGAAAGGGAGCACCCCTCTTAAATAAGCCTGTCACTACCATCTGTAGGCTCCCAAATGAGAGTGTCAGTGCAGGTACAGATGCTAAAGCTTCTGGTTTATGGCCTTGGAGAAAGATGAACGAACAGGCTGGGTTACCTACTTAACTTGGTTTGGGCTTGTAATGTCTTATTGCATTAAAGACTTTCTGGGTCAAGATAGACACAATACAGGCAGTAAGGCTGTGGGCCCTCAGGAGAAAGCTTTTAGCTGGCATTTGCTTAAGATCCTTTCACCAAATAGATACCACATTAGATGAACCGCTGTTAACCTCAGCTTTGAAGTTACCTCCACTACATTTTCCCTTGTAGATACAGCTCATACAATATGAAAAACTCCTGGTGTCACCAAATGCAAAGTACTGGACATGAGAGAGACTGAAAGATTCAGCAGAAGGCAGTGAAGATGCTCAGCATTAAATATGGAACAAGTAAGAGGGGCTTCTGAAGCAAAGGACACCAAGGGGATACTGGATTAACCAAACCTGCCTCAGAAGCATCTCAATCTGTGAGTACCTGCAATTTTGGCTGTCAGGTCATTAACTGGATGAACACATAATTGATAAGCTGTAGGTTCCGCTCTACTTGAGAGCAATAAGCACCTTTAAATTATATTAATATTTAACATACATAAAAGCACTTATAATTTGTAAAGGACTCCATAGAGTAATTGATTCCCAGCTTCCAGATTAGGGAATGCAAATCTGGAGGGATAAATATCTGGCCAACGTCCAAACCAAGATTCACTGGCAGAGCTATTATTCTAGCTTAAAATCAGGTTTCTAAGTTTCTAGATTACATTGCTTGTAGCCTTACGTGGGTAGAAGCATGACACACAGACTGAGCTGGAAGACAGGAGGTGACAACACAGGATGACGCTTATGACTCACATCCACTGATTGTCACATCCCCACCCTGGGCAACCATCCACACCAAAAGATGCAGTTAAGTGGGTAAAACACATAGAATGGCAATATTAAATATTAGATTGGCATGTGTCATCCATGCTTCCCCCTTTGTTTTAAGGTATTAATCTTGGGGAATTTACTGACTAATTTTTCAGCTCTTTCAATATACTTTTATATATACCTATCTATATATAAAAGCATATTTTTTTTTTTTTAGTTTAAAAGGATACAGTAAGTTCACTCGTAGAGGCTCCTTAAAATATGATAGTGTTTTTCTGAAATGTGACAGATTATTTCTCATGCTGCAGCACTGAGTTTCTGTGAAACAGGAATTTGTTATTACCCAAAATTACTGTAGGAGAACTTCTCTTTCAGCCTCCTACATGGTCTCCTGAGATAGACCCTCAGTCTCCCTGCCCTACTAACTCCCTTTGTACATACTTTTTCTGCCTGGAAGAAAAAACACAGTGAAAGTCACATCATTTCTCTTGACTGGACACAGCACCCTTTTGCTGTAGCTGAACTTTATGCACATGGAAAGTGAATTCCCCTGGGGATCTACCAAGTGTCCCCACAGGCTGGAGTGGGCTTTGCCAGACAGGTACCTGCAGCTGCATCCTCAGTGCACACAATACACTGACAATACCACCCAGGAAGGATGCAAAATCTGTATCATCCACTTAAGGTATGTAAATGCATGTGTCACAGCTGCACTTGTTCCCTGAAATATCTGTGCCTTCTAACCTGTTCACTGAAAGACTTGTGCCTCCTAACTAACTTCTGCTTCAATGCACCCAGCAGTCTGCTCATCATCATAGCCTCACAGCTTTGTCATTTGAGGATTCACGCTTTTAGGACCTCTATTCCCATCAATATCACATTCTGCCTAGGAAATCTAACCATCTTAGAAGCAGATTGAAGCGATTATTGATGACAGTCAATACAACTTCAAAATATTTTTAGTAAGTAGAAAAAATGAATAAAAAATTTACATTGAAAATTATTTAAGAGCTATTCAGAACTTGCAAAGCAGAGAAATCTGACAAGCAAGAAAACATGACAGTTTCTATACACTAGCATTCTGGCACTTCAACTCCAACAGAGTCCAAGTTCAGTGAAAAAGTGAAACTTCCTAAAAGAAAGTATTATTCACAGCATTTTTTTTGCATAAGTGGACACCTAACATAACAGATCTCCCCTTCTGCGCCATCTTATATTCTCACAAAGCTCAGCCTGCTAGACAAGATTTCCATAGAAATCCTATTCGGTAAATTTCGCTTGATTGAGTCACATTTTACAATCAAATGGCAAAAGCTGAAACAACTTTGACTCTTTCCATCAAAACCAGTATTAGTCATCCTTCCAGCTTAAGGACTCACACGCTATTCTTGACAGACAAAACTGGGACCACAGGTCAAGAAATTACAATTTAATAGTCACAAAGTATGTGGGAAACCTTCTTAGAAGAAAAATACTTATGTTTGTAAGAATCTTCTTAGGAGAAAAATACTCATGTTTGTCAGAACCTTTTTTAGAAGAAGGTCCTCATGTAGTTGATTTCTACTACAGGAGAAAATAACACCTGCAAGGGATGAGAAAGAAAGCAATTGTACAGAATGTGCGTGAGATAAGAAGGACTGAAGGTAAATAATCAGCAGGATTAGGTAATGTTAAGGGTCCCGTTCCCAGGACCAAAGTTAGCCAATAGTAACTTTGTTTTTAGGATTTTAAAATCATTGTATCCAATTAGTAATTGCCAAATCTGCATGAGTTCTGTATAAAAGTGTGTAATTGAGGCATAATAAATGGCTACAGTTTGATCATATTGGTCTGCGTAGTCCCCACCAGCAGCAAAAGTACATGTCCAGATAGGCCTTGCTAGTCTGAAGGAAAAAACATAGGACTTGGTCAGTAAAACTAAAAGATACTTGACAGCATGACTGCTAAGTTGCTAGAAGAGTAATAAAAACACAGCTCCTATGTTAGCATAGAAAATTTTGGCCCAAATGGTAAAGCCACCGTTAAATAAAAATCATAAAGTTCTTCCTCACCTGCTGGTCTCCAAAGCTCTTAAAACTAGAGTGGCTGGAGGATGCAAGGGCCGAGCACAATGTGCCTGTGAAGACATCAGGATCTGTCTCCTAGTCAGATACTCCTTTCCTCTGACCTCTCTCCCTCTTCGTGTTCCTGCTGGTTCCCCCATGCAGAATATCCCATCTCTACCTTTATACTCTCCTGTCCTCCCCAGGTGGCTTTTCTTCTCTGCCGCGCCCTGTGGTTGCCCGAAGGAGGGGTGGCTTTGCCAAGCCCTCCAGCACACATCCTTCCTCTCCCAGCCACTGCCTGTGGCATCCTGACCTAAAGCAGGCTCAGGACAGGCTGGTCCACTGCCCAAAGACCACCTCTGTGACATGGCTGGAAAGGGTGAATGGAGAACTGGGTGTACTTTGAGATGCTGAATTTGCTCATGCCTACTACAAGATGCTGAATTCACTCATGCTCTGCTCCTCTGTGGCCTTCTGGAGTTGAAGGCAAGGCACCCTCTTAGCATGGGTCTGCTCACAGGCACAGACACATTCCTAAGTGACAGTGTAGCAAAGACCACCCCTCCCAGAATTAGGCTCCTGGCAAAGTCTCAGCAAGGAAGGCAAGTTTCCTTACAGAAAACTTCCAGCAACTTTCTGCTAGTAATGCTCAGACACAGATATCGTGGAGAAGCACAAAAAACTCCCCACTCTCATTGCTATTTGCTCCTGATACTTCCCCTGCCTCCCCTGGGTGTCTCTCACGGCCCCACTAATCTCATCATGGTCAGAATTACTGTTTGGATGGTGACTCAATGTTAGTCTCAGCAGAGTACCAAGGAAAAGAGAAGCCCTATAGGATCAAATCCTTCTCTGATTATGGGCTTGGCTACATATAATTCATTTTCTGCATTCTGTTGTGGCACATGCTAACAGAAAATTAATCCAAAGTCTCTGGCTGTTCCAGGGACTGCTCGCAATCCCCCACCCAGCTCAAATCTGTGCATCTTCAACTTCCAGAGAAAACAATGGAAGCATCTCTGTGCTTGGCATTGGCAAAATATCAGGCCATTCATTCTTTTGCTTAAATTAGGAATCTAATTTCAACTATTTTTCCTCCAGACAGGCTGAAAAAAAGAAGACAAAAAGCAATATACCTCTACTTCACATGCATATTCTGATCCATCCAGGAGTGTCACTTTGCACTGCATATTTTTCGGTTTCTTGACAATCTTTAGAGGAGATTTGGAAAGTTTGCTAGATGATGATTTTTGGGAGAGCTTGTCGTCCTCTAGTTGCTGGTATTCCAGCTGTTTTGCACTCGCAGCAGCAAACTCCTGTTCTTTGTCTGTGGCCTATAAAGAGAAAGAAACATACTTTTTCAAGTGAGATAAACCAATCAAGCCATGCAGTACACAATACCCAAGCATTTAAGTGACCGTAGTGTGGGGCTTGGATGAGAAAGCCCCAGATGCAGGACAGAGTCTTCTTTACCTATTGAAAAGATCTCACATATTGCACATACTACTCCCAGCCCTCCCTTTTCACTCCAAAAGGTACAGAATGCCTGTGGAGAAGGGGCGTGCATGAAAATGCTTTAGGTTTCTACTTTTTCCATAGGTACAAAACTCCTCTTGGACTTCCTGCACCTGTTTTTTTGGTCTGCTGGAAATGTTTAATAATTGGTAAATGTTGTGATGAACAGATATTCCTACAGTGTGTTTATATCACTTTTAAGTCCTGTATCTGTTAGATTATATGATGCTTCCACAGTGTCACACAGAACAGGGAAAGACCATCAAGGTTGCACTAATTTTGTTGTCAGTGAGAAAACAGTTCCCTGAATGAGGGCACAGATCCCCCCGTGACTGTGTGAATTCACAGGGAGATGTTGATGTGCCTGGGAGAGCAAAAGGCTCCCCAAGCACCTGAGCAAAGGGTTAAACAAACAGGGTGGAAGTGAGGGGCCAAAAAACTTTTATGTGCAGCCAGCTAGCTAATGGATGGTAAGTACAGGATGAGAGGCTGAATTTTTGCTCTCTGCAGATGCCCGATAAGTTCCTCAAGCCGTCAAGGAGTAGGTGCTGCTTGAAAGACAAATATACTGCAGGAAAGAGGGGCAAGAAGAACAATCGCGGTCACTTTTGCTTGGGTTTATCTGAGGGTCAGACCATTTGAGGAGTTACCATGATGCAGCACAGCCCGTGGTCCTCTCCACATCACTAGATGAAAGCCAGAACAGCTCTATAGCATTTCACCCTTCCTAGCAACAGCACTATGCCGCAGTCATTACCTTTCTCATCAGTTATGCCCCTGAGAGTCTCCGAACAAAACCTCAACAGGAGTGCAGTAATATCTAAGCTAAAGCTTAAATAAAATAAAATAAAAATAACATCTTTCCATTATCTCACTACAAGGAAAAAAAAATAACTGTTTTGGCTCTGAATGATTCCAGTGTAATAAGCAACAAGCACTGCTGGAAATATATTGTAAATTAATCCTCCAAGTCTGTTTCCATTCATTGTATATAATAAAACTTCATGAGAATGGAGCAAATCTGTCCAAAGGCTTTAATCTGCTTTGAGACCAGAACAACCTTGCATCATATATCCAGCAACAACTGCTAAATCACAGGGAACTTTCCCTGAGAGATTTCTTACAAACAAGCCATAAGCTTCCCCTCTGCCTTTGG